CTCTGGGTGGCATACAACAATTAAAATAAAATAACAAGTGAATAAAAACAGGCATTATAAAGAGATAAAAAGTTATTATTAGAATAAAAACAAGTTCCCCAACAGTTCTGATTTTCAGCTATATAGCTTACTCATTCTTCCACAGTTCCTTTCTTTTCAACTTTATGACCTCTCACTTTTGCTTATCTCCTGTACATTTCCCCACTTTTCCTCCATTCATAATCTAAACTGCTTTTATTGCATTTAAATTGTATTAGAAATAAAGCATACAACATCAATAAATATATATATGTTATGAATACCTGTCATTACAGGAAGTACAATAAAACGAATAGCTACACAAATCTTACAGGTTGTTTGTTACATGGGTGATTCACCACAGTGGTCCTTGTGCAGCTGCCAACTTCTTCAGGAAACTGATTATGTGACTTTTTTCAGACTGTATTCCATCCTGATTTTGGAATAGAATCAGGCATGACTACCTTGATAGATTATCCTCTGTGGAAGAGAGACAGAGGAAATGTTGAGCTTGCTTGTTCTCTTGACAGTTTTTGACAGTACAGACCATGATAACTTCTTGAACTGTCTTCCTGATTTGGATAACTGGGTTACACTGGGTCTGCTTCTATTGCAGGGATAGTCTCAGAGAATAGTATTGGGTAACTATGCCACTGGACCCTGGCCATTAGATTATGGGGAGCTTCTTTCTGGTACTCTTTCTGATGCTATTTAACATGTTATATGGAGCCGCTCAGTAAATTTAGGGCTGGTTATCATCAATATGCTGATGACACTCAGCTCCACTTTTCAGTAATATGTGAATCTAAGACTAAGTCTGTTCTGATCAGTGTCTGGATGCAGTGAGAGGTGGATGAGGGCCAATAACTTGGGATTAAATCTTGGCAAGAAGAAGCCCATGTGGGCAGTTCCCATTGTAATCCCTCAACTAGAATAGGCTTGTCATTTGAATGTTCTCTTAGACTTAGTGCTGTCATTGGACATCCAAATAACTTCTATGGCACAAGAACCAATTACTAGGTTTGGTTGATAAATCAGTTATGCTCTTTCTTGAACAGGACCAGCCTAGCTACTGTTATGCATGCATTGGCAATCTTATGCTTCATTTTTGTAATGTACTGTTCATACATTGCCCTTGCCCTGGATCTGGATGTTACAGCTATGCATAATTCAACAGCCATGTTGCTGAGTAGAATGCCTGTCCATATGCATGTTCTACTTCTGTTGAAGCAATTGCACTGGCTGCTAGTTAGCTATCAAGCCAGGTTCAAGATTTTAGTTATGGCATATAAAGCATTAAACAATTTGGGACCAGAATGCTTGATAGAATGCCTGCACTGTTACAGATTTGCTCAGTCACTAAGATAATTGGGGGAGGTTGTACTGTATGTTCCTACCACCACAGAGTATTGTTTTGTAATTGTTCATGGATAGACTTGCTCTGTGTCTACAATCTGTACTGCTTTCTTCCTTGAAATTCATGAGGCACCTGTTAGCATTTTGTAGATGTCTGATGAAGACCTAACTCTTCACCCAGATTTTCTCTGTATGAATATTGGATGAAAAGCTTTTCCCTGACATTGGATAACAGGTTTTTTTTCTCATCATATCCAATTTTGTATAAGAAAAATATCCATTATTCATTATTTCTTAAATGCTTTAAAAGTATTGCATATTGCATACTACTTTTCATAAGTGAACACTATGATTTTTCTAAAATCAATAGGATTAGTATTTTGTCACAGCATCCCATTTATCAGTTAATAACCTTGAATTAGGCTTTGAACCCTTAAACTACTAAATTTTTCATTCTTCATTCCTGTCTTTGTCCTACTTAATTTTATTTTATCTGTTAATTTCATTTTTACCCATGGAGCTGGGTCCCACTTTAGGTCAGTGAACCACTCTTTTACTAATATTAGTTCATGTCAAGTTAAAATTTATTTATGATCCAAGACCAAACACAAGAAAAAGACCAACAATACAATAAATATACTAACAGAAGAAAAATATTGCAAGAAAATCCTGAAAATATTGCAAGAAAATAGCTAACAATTAATAGCATGAAGGAGAGACCAGAAGGCTTCTAACAGCTATAGCAATTGACAGAAATTTTGCAGCCTTCTTAGAAGTTTCTGAAGAGTGGTCACCCTAAAGAAGGTAATAGCCTTGTGGCATATGTTTTTTAGTGGCCTGGTGTGGCTGCTGTTGTGCTGGTGTGAGTCATCAAATGGAGAGACAAAAAGAGAAGAAGCTCAATTCTAGCTTTGAAGTGCAGGTGTACTGTCACAGGGGCTGATGAGGACTGTTGTGGGGCAGAGGTAGACAGCATTCCTATTGGTCCAGCCTTGTATATAAGTGTTGGGAATTAGAACCCTGAGGAGAATCCATCTCCTCAGTTGCTGTAGAACATGTTGCTGGTCTAACCCAAAACTGGGTGAGAGGGAGGGAGGGAGGGAGGGAGAGAGAGAGAGAGAGAGAGAGAGAGAGAGAGAGAGAAAGAAAGAAAGTGAGGGGAGAAATTAGGAGACAAAATGACAACTACAAAGACTGTTGTAGAAGGGAGAGGCTGGAGAGTAAAGCTGATGTGAGTGTCTGGAGCAGTCTGGAGCAGTTCATGGTTGGAGAAGGAGAAGAAAAATCGACAGGTGGTTTCCCTGGAGGAAGAGAAGCAAAGTCCCAGAGAGTTGGCATCTTCAACCAAGACCCAAAATGGGTAGGAGGGATATGGCTGGCTATGGATAGGGGGTTGGAGTCTCTGGCAAAGCCCTAGTCTCTGGGAAAAGAATGGGAAGAAGACTCCCAAGAGTGAGTCATCCCCCATTGGAGGAGAAGCAGATGATGATTGGCTGAACAGATCCAAGGAAAGGGGATGAGCAGCACTGAGCACCCTCATTCATAAATCCAGCACATTGCTTCTTTTTACTCTCTCTTAATAATTCCAGAAATGGGGAGGGAGATGGAGTGAAGGGGGAGGAAGTTAAGCATTTAGGAGAAGAGTTAGAGGGATACAGTCTCTGGAAAAGAAACTTAAGAAGAAACCTGACACTGGGTAGAAGCCAGGATCTTGTAATACCTAGTTTTGCTGCATACAGTAAAGAAGGAGCATAAGCCCTACTGTCTTGGTCTCTCTGTGTCAGTTGCCATTCTTGTATTCCTGAATACACATCCAGTTCTAGAAGAACTTGGTCACAATGGGATTAGTTGTTAACAGTTGTAAATATTAAGTTCAATTGTCACTGAGTGTACAACAGACACTTTAATAGCACATGATTCTACCTCTATAGCTGAACAGAAACAAATACAGCTTTCATATGGGAGACTTATTTATCTACCAGTTGTTGCCCTAAGAGGTAACATCTCAGTTCAGGCAGGGTAAATTTTCTCCTAAGAGGGGCATATAATATTGAAAAAAATACCTAGGGACAGTAAAAGGGGTGCACTATAAAAGGGGTGGACATTGGTTCTATCATTTTGGATATCAAAGTCACAAATCCTCTGCTTCAGTTCAACTAAAATGTTATCAAGGCCCAAAGCAGATCATGCTGGCAAGGAAAGACCACTGCATGCCAAATTATCATTAATTTGTCTTCTTAAGGTAGAACAGAACCTGTCTAGCAAGGTGAGATAGATCAAAGAAATTCCACAATTGACTTGCTTTAGCCAAAATTTGAAACAACTAAGTCTTAATCAGGCCCCAATAATTAAGGATTACAATCTGAAGAATTTCTGTATATTAGATTTTTTTTTACATTTCCTAACATTTGTTACATATATATATCTATTTATTTACAGTAAGTAAATTCTGAAATCTGATGAATGAGACAACATATACATTTTTATACTGTACCAATATTTGGTCTCTTGGAAATGATAAGATAAAAATAGCCTTTAAAACAATTTTAGACAAATCATCAAGAATGTTTTGTGAAAGCCAGTGTGCTGTAGTGCAGCATGGTGTAGTGCATTGGTTCTCAACAGGGCCGGTACCACCCCCTGGGGGGCGGTGGGAGGATGCTGAGGGGCGGTGAACTTGTTTTGGGCGGTAGGGGGGTGGTGGGCATGTTTTGGCATTCAAACTTAATTTTAAAACTCCCCAAAAAAAGTATTAAATCGATTATCCGGTTTACACCATTTGTACCAGCAATAAAACAAACTTACACGACGGCTGCCCTCACGCACTTCTGCGAATGGTGAGATGAATTTGTATTCTAGATAGATGACCTTGAAGAACTCGACACTACGATTCTTCTCCGATCCCAACCAGCACACCGCATGCGTCAGCTGTTTTCCCACGCGATTAATTGCAGCGTGTGCGTCAGCTGTCTTCCCGCGCGATTAATTGCAGCGTGTGCGTCAGCTGTCTTCCCGCGCGATTAATCGCCGTG